TTCTGTAAAGCACTTATAACTCCCTGGCATCTCTCTCCACAAAAACGTACAAGCTGCTTGAGAGCAGAGATGACTACTGTCATGGCCATCAATGATTTCCAATAAAGAAGTCCAAAGATGATACCTCCACCCTTCAGGGAGGACCTAGAAAGCATTAAATAGTTTAAATAAATACATTATTGATAATATCATTCAATTTTAAATGTTACCAGATTTGAAAGACCCAGATGAAGTAAAAGAGCAAATTCATAGGGGTGGACAGAATTGCTGTTTGGCCACAACAAGGTTCAACTGAAGCCATTAGAGAAGCTGAATATATACAAGATAAAGTCATTATCATTACCGTTTAAAGAACTCTTACAAGAGGCTTAATTTATTCTCAAATATGGAAAGCATAAAGTTAAAACCAATGAGAGGAAGTCGCAGGAAAGCACCTTTCTGCTCAGTATAAAGAAAATCTTTCTAAGAAGCATAGCTTTTTGAAAATGAAATGGACTGCTTGAAAAAAATATGAAATTCTCAGTTGTCAAAAATATTCAAGTGTATTCTAATTGATAATTGATTTAGGAAGCATATAGAAAGGATTTTGAATATCGTTAGGTTAAATTACTTAACGCACATCTATGACATAAGAAAGCACAACACATTCTTCATTTGAAAGTATTAAACACTAAAAGCAGGTGCCTAAAATTTAAATCTCCATTGTCTTCCTTCTTCCTAACCCCCATCCTCTATCTTTAGGTAGAATATGGTTTCCAATCTTTTGGAGGGTTATTTGTATGCATGAATGCTGTAAAATAGACAAGTAAAATCAAACATCTCTTTAAGAAAAATTTCTATTCCATAATCTTCTGAGAACCTATCATCAAATTCTTATTTAACTAAAAATAAGAAGAAGAATATCTATCCACTTTAAGGAAAGCTTTAAAATTTTGAAAGCTTTAGAACACTACATCTCTTACTTAGAATAAGAAACCCCTATCTCTAAGTGACAAAAGGTCTGGGAAACATGAAAGAAACATTTGAATTATAGCTTAATTACTTAGTGTCTGGGATTAGCCTCAAACAGAAGGTATAAAATGTTTTATTTTGGGCCAAAATTTAACATAGTTAGTATGTTGTTACTTCCTAAGTCAGTAGCCAGTTAGGATATACTTAACTAGTTTTGTTAAATGAGAACTTTGCTTTTTTTTTTTAATTGTTTAAATTTTTTTTATTTATTTTTGATACAGAGAGAGATAGAGCATGAACAGGGGAGGGTCAGAGAGAGAGGGAGACACAGAATCTGAAGCAGGCTCCAGGCTCTGAGCTGTCAGCACAGAGCCTGACGCAGGGCTCGAACTCACGGACCATGAGATCATGACCTGAGCTGAAGTCGGACGCTCAACCGACTGAGCCACCCAGGCACCCCAGAGAACTTTGTATTTTTGAAGGCAGTCCACTTTGCATTGTTTTGGGTAAATTACAGACTCATTATTCTCACCATTTTACTCGCTTCTTTCATATTTATCATTTTACTCATCACAGTCAGGGAATTTCTACCTGTAATTATCTTCCAGTGTTATCCCTAACTCTTGGTGGGGTACAGGAGAAAAACTCTTTTAAGGTGACTGAGTATAATAGATGTCTTTGAGAAGACTTGAATAAAAATATTTTTGGTAGCCATTTCTCAAATCCTGTGCATATACTTAATTGTTATTACAACTTGTGATGTGATTTTGATATTTAATTGATATCAAGTATTAGGAGCATTAATGTTGAGATGATTCATTATTCTGTTTTGTGACTGCTCTGGTTAAAAGGACTAGGTGAAAATAGTGCATCATACTCAACATAGTTTCTAATGTAGTTCAAAGCAACTACTCAGTCTAACCAATCAAACAATAACCCTGAGTTTATATATATATATATATATATATATATATATATATATATGAAAAATATATACATATTATATAAAGGTTATATATATATATATAATATATGTATATAAACGCTTGAAGTGATTAGAAATAATAATAGTATATTAATTGAGGGAGGTAAAGATTGTAACATGTTTGACTAATGGAAATCTCTTTTTTGAACTTTCTGTAAAAATTTTGCATCATCTCAAAAGAAATTGTTTAATTATACCTTGCCATCCAGAGTTATTTAAAAAATTATTTTTTAATGTTTATTTATGTTTGAGAGACAGAGAGAGACAGTATGAGTGGGGGAGGGGCAGAGAGAGAGGGAGACACAGAATCTGAAGCAGGCTCCAGGCTCCAAGCTGTCAGCACAGAGCCCAATGCGGGGCTCGAACTCACGAACTGTGAGATCATGACCTGAGCGAAGTCGCACGCTTAATCAACTGAGCCACCCAGGTGCCCCAGATCCATAGTTATTTTAAAAGAAAAAAATATATTTAAACTTTCAAGAAATTGGGTAAAATGTCATTTTACATGTATGTACTAGAAGAGAAACTGTGGTTCAAATTTGTCTATACATAAGGGAAACCATTTTAGAAAAAGAGCTTTAATTTTTTCACACTTATTTTAGGTTATGTTTTTTAAACCTGATGAATAACATAAGATTACTATTTCCACTGAAGGAATAATAAATATAAATAAATTCTAAACTAACTTCCAGATATTAGGAACGTAAAATGAGTTTAAACTGGAAGCTATAAATTGTACCTTCAAATAGACTGTTGTTGTTGTTTTTAATATATGGTCAAGGGTAAATATAATTTCTCATGGAAAGAAGTCAGAAAATAGTGTTTGCATATATATATTTTTTTTAACATGTGGACTCTGTGGGAACTACTCTGCTAATATGGGCATCTACCTAAAAGATTCTTGTGAGTGCATTGTGTGTGCTGGGTCTGTGTGTGTATGACAAGTATGAAAATTTAAGGGAAACAGTTGTCTCTGACTCTATTTTTTTTAACATTTAATGTATCATTTAAAACTATTTCAAGCTTGAGTTGCCTAGTAATCATCTATTCAGGGATTTCCTAAGGTTCTTTCTAATTTAGTTCTTTGACTAAATTCACTTTTAAATAAGGTCCAATGAGACTGATTAAAATCAAGAGTTGTTTTACATGAGCTTTATTTAAGATGATTCATAGCAGGATACAAAAGTTTCACTCCACCAGTGGGAATCATCTGGTTGCCCTGGTGTAACCCACAGCTAATTATGCCAAAACAAGATCAATTTGTCTGAGGAAGTTTGAGGAATTATCTACCTCACGCCCCAGTTGTATCTTGAGGCAATTGTATCTTGAGACCAGTGGGGTCCCATCTTCTTATTAACCTTTTTAAAGGTATGATTCTTTCTCTCATAGGTATGTCTCTAACTGGTACATTTAACTGTGAAAATGGAGTATTATTTTAGGCATCCAGTGGGAATCACAGTATTTGGAAAGCATCAGAGTAAACTGATTCCAAAATGGTACCCTGAGGATAACTTCATCTTAAATTTAAAATAATTTATATAAATATTCTCCAAGGGTAAATATGATTAATGGCAACAATAGAGAAGTGCTATATGAGTTTATGATTGGTCTCCAGGGTTTGATGAACTAAAAATGTAAATTTCTTTTGACTATAAACCCCAGAAGGTGCATTAAACACTCTAGGTGAAAAGGGTATCTTAAAGGGATTTTGTCCCCTCACATAATTAAGATGAGACAGTCCTTAAAAAAGAGGAAAGAAAGAAAGAAAGAAAGAAGAATCAAAACAAGTTAATCAGAAAATTTCCCCATCAATTATACAAAAATCTCAGAATTAAAAGGAAAAAACTCTAGTTATCATGAATTATTTTTATCTAATCTCTAATCTAAATATAGGTAAATTATTGTGGAAAAAATAAGAATTTGGAATTAGGAGAATTGGATTCTAGTAGTGATTGGTACCAAAAAGAAGTGTGCACATGGGCTGGCTAACCATTTTACTTTTCAGGTATTTCTCATTTAAAATCCTTAAGAATTCCAGCCTTATATCACAGACTTTTTTAAAGACTGAATTAAAAACTCCATGAAAACTACTGCATACACAACTTCCTGTTCTATTCCCTAGGCTGAAATATATTCAATTCAAAACACCAGATGCCTACCATATTTTAGGGAAAATAAAACAAACATCTAAACAGGAGATTTGTTGATTTTTTAAATTATTCATTTTAATTTCACAATCCTACTTGCCAAACACAATTTATCATTATTGAGTCTTCAAAAATTTTCATGCTTTTATTTCTTAGTTAATCCACAATAGGAAAATAGTAATTTAATTAGAAATCCATAATAATTATAATAACACATCTAGAAAAATCTCCAAATAGCTAGAGCTAAATAACATCTAAAAATTTATGAATCAAAGAGGCACCTAAGTGGCTCAGTTGGTTGAGCACCTGACTCTTGATTTTGGCTCAGGTCATGATCTCACTATTCCCGACTTGGAGCCCTGCAAGGGACTCTGTGCTGGCAGTGCAGAACCTGCTTGGGATTCTCTCTCTCCCTCTCCCTCTGGTCCTCCCTCTTTTTCCCCCCTCCCCTGCCCATGTACATACTCACTCTCTGGAGTGCTCTTTCTCTCTAAAAATAAATAAAAGAAACTTAAAAAAATACACGAATCAGGGTGCCTGGGTGGTTCAGTTAGTTAAACATCCAACTCTTAAATTCAGCTCAGGATATCATGGTTCAAGAGTTTGAGCCCCACATCAGGCTCTGTGCTGACAGCATGGAGCCTGCTTGAGATTCTCCCTTTCCCTCTCTGCCCCTCCCTGTTCATGCTCTCTCTCCCTCTGTCTCTCAAAATAAATAAATAAATAAATAAATAAATAAATAAACAAACATTTTTTTTTTCAACGTTTATTTATTTTTGGGACAGAGAGAGACAGAGCATGAACAGGGGAGGGGCAGAGAGAGAGGGAGACACAGAATCGGAAACAGGCTCCAGGCTCCGAGCCATCAGCCCAGAGCCCGACGCGGGGCTCGAACTCACGGACCGCGAGATCGTGACCTGGCTGAAGTTGGACACTTAACCGACTGCGCCACCCAGGCGCCCCTAAACAAACATTTTAAAAATACATGAATCAAAGTGGAATTAAAAAACGAAAAAAATCTGAGCTGAATGATTTTACACTAAATGATACTAGGGAAAAAATAACTAAAATGAAGCTAAAGCTATATTGAATTTGTCAATTATTTATTGATATTTGTTTGATAGGACACCAACGGCATAGAGAACAAAAGAAAATACAGGCAAAAAAAGGCTTAATGAAAATTAAAAAATTTTTTGCTTCAAAAGACAACAGAATAAAAATGCAATTCCCAGAATGGATGAGAATACTTTCAAGTTACATATTTGTAAGTGACTAGTACTCAGAATATATAGAGAATTCCTAAAATTCAACAACAAAAAGCAAAAAAATAAGACTCAAAATTGGGCAAGGAAATTAATAGACATTTCTGCAAAGATGATATACAAATAACAATCACATGTGGGGCACCTGGGTGGCTCAGTTGGTTGGGCGACTGACTTCGGCTTGGGTCATGATCTCTTGGTTTGTGAGTTTGAGCCCCACGTGAGGCTCTGTGCTAACAGCTCAGAGCCTGGAACCTGCTTCGGATTCTGTCTCCCCTGTCTCTGCTTCTCCCCTGCTCACACTGTGTCTCTCTGTCTCTCAAAAATGAATAAACATTTTAAAAAAAAAATCACATGGAAAGATGCTCACCATCACTAATCATTAGGGAAATGCATATCAAATCTACAGTGAGATATCACTTCACACCAATTAGGATGGCTACTATTTAAAAAGAAAAGAGGGGCACCTGGGTGGCTCAGTCGGTTAAGCATTCAACTCGGGCTCAGGTCACGATCTAATGGTTTGTGGGTTCGAGCCCCGCGTTGGGCTCTGTGCTGTCGGCTCGGAGCCTGGAGCTTGCCTCAGATTCTGTGCCTCCCTCTCTCTCTGCCCCTCCCTGACTCACACTCTTTTTCTCTATCTCAAAGATAAATAAATATTTTAAAATTATAAAAATAAATAAATAAATAGAAAGAAAGAAAGAAAGCATGGGTGAGGATGTGGAGAAATTGGAACCTTGTACACTTTTGGGGAGAATGTAAAGCTGTATAGCTGGAGAAACAGTACAGATGGCCCCCAATTTATGACGGTTCAACTTGCTATTTTTTGACTTTACAACTGTGCAAAAGCAATGTGCATTCAGTAGAAATGGTACGTTGAATTTTGATCTTTTCCCGGGCTAGGGGGATGTGGTATGATATTCGCTCAAGATGCTGGGCAGCAGCAGTGAGCTGTAGCTCTCAGTCAGCCATAGTAACATGAAAGGGATACCAATCAATACCATTACATCAATTCTGTACCTCTACAACCACCTGTTTTCACTTTTGGTACAATATACAATAAACTACATGATATATTCAACACTATTATGAAATAGGCTTTGTGTTCATTGATTTTGTCCAACGGTAGGCTAATGTAAGTGTTCTGAGCACATTTAAGGTAGGCTGGGCTAAGCTATGATGTTCAGTAGATTAGGTACATTAAATGCACTTCTGACTTATGTTATTTTTGACTTATGATAGGTTTATCATAATATAACCCCATCATAAGTTGAGGAAGATCTGCATAGTGGATTCTTCAAAATATTAAAAATAAAACTGTCATCAGATCGACCAATTCCACCTCTAGGTACATACTCAAAATAATTAAAAGCAGGATCTCAAAGTGATATTTGTACACCCACGTTTGTAGCAGCATAATTCACAGTAGCTAAAACATGGAAGCAATCCAGGTGCCCATCAATTTATGAATGGATAAGCAAAATATGATATATATAAACAACAGAATATTGTTCAGCCTTAAAAAGGAAGGAAATTCTGACATATGCTACAACATACATTTACTTTGAAGGCATTTTTTAAGTGACATAAGCCAGGCACCAAACAAAAAGACAAAATCTGTATGATTCCACTTATATGAAGTAGTTAAAGTAGTCAAAATCATAGAGATAGAAAGTAATAGAATGGTGTTTGCCAAAACCTGGGAGATAGGAGGAGAAGACTAGCTATGGATTGGGAAAAAAATATTTGAAAAACATTTATCTATTAGAAGTTATCTACAACACATAAAAACCTCTTATAACTCAAAAATTAAAGGCAAAAAAAAAGTAGGCAAAAACTTTAACAGAAACATTACCAGACAAGCTATATGAATGTTAATCAAATGAAAAGAGCCTTAATATGACTAGTTATCAGGGTAATGCTAGTTAAGTCAATACATACCCATGAGAATGACTGAAGTTAAAAACACTGAGAATACCAAGTGTTGATAGGATTTGGAGCAAATTGAACTTTCACACATTGCTGGTAAGTAAATGCAAAATGTGTGGCTCCTTTGTAACCAGTATGGAGTATCATTAAAATCAAATATACACTTTCTAAATCAATAATCACCCCAATTATTTTATTAAAGGAAATGAAAATTTATATCATCACAAAGTTATGTATATGATTGTTAATAGCAGCCTTACCATAAGAGTTTAAAAAAAGGAAATAGGTGCTCCTGGGAGGCTCAGTCGGTTGAATGTCTGACTTTGGCTCATGTCGTGATCTCGCAGTTAGTGCGTTTGAGCCCCGTGTCAGGCTGGTGCTGACAGCTCAGAACCTGAAGCCTACCTCAGATTTTGTGTCTCCCTCTCTCTCTGTCCCTCCCCTGCTCATTTTGTCTCTCTCTCCTTCTCAAAAATAAATAAACATAAAAAAAAGGAAGTAAACCAAATTCAGGTTCAATAGGTAATGGATAAATTGCAATACATCTATGTAATAAAAATACTACTAAGCAATGAAAAGAGCAAGCTGCTGATATAAACACATAAATCAATCTCTAAACCATTATGCCAAGAGAAAGATGTTATTACAAGATGATAAATACTGTAAATTCCATTTGTATGCAGTTCTAGAAAATTAAATATAGTGACAGAGCTGATCAGTGATTCTTAGAGGCTAATAATGGAGTAAGGGGTTGACGTGAAAGTGTATGAAAAAATTTTTCGGACTATGGAAATATTCTATATCACAACTTTATTTTAGATTTTTAATTAAACTCTAGGCCCAACATGGGAGTTGAACTCACAACTCTGAGATCAAGAGTCACATGTTCTACTGACTGAGCCAGCCAGGCACCCCTACATGAGTTTAATGATGATTTAATGAATGCATACTTTTTTTTTAAATTTTTTTTAACGTTTATTTATTTTTGAGACAGAGAAAGACAGAGCATGAACAGGGGAGGAGCAGAGAGAGAGGGAGACACAGAATCTGAAACAGGCTCCAGGCTCTGAGCTGTCAGCACAGAGCCTGACGCGGGGCTTGAACTCACGGACCGTGAGATCATGACCTGAGCCGAAGTCGGACGCTTAACTGACCAAGCCACCCAGGCGCCCCATGAATGTATACTTTTACCATAACCCATTAAATCATACAGTTAAAATTGGTAAATTTTATTTTATATATATTTTATCTCAAAAACAGATGTTTTAAAATTTCAAGGCATCTACAAAAAAAGGAAATTTCTAAGTTCACAAAGATTGCAAGATACTAATTTAACTTAATAAGAACATGCATTTCCACTATAAGCAATGGACAATTGAATAACAGCATTAAAAAAACCATCTAGGGGATGCAGGGCTGGTTCAACATTTGCAAATCAATCAACGTGATACATCACATTAACAAAAAAAAAAGAGAAAAACCATATGATCCTGTCAATCGATGCAGAAAAGGCCTTTGACAAAATCCAGCACCCTTTCTTAATAAAAACCCTTGAGAAAGTCGGGATAGAAGGAACATACCTAAATATCATAAAAGCCATTTATGAAAAGCCCACAGCTAACATCATCCTCAACGGGGAAAAACTGAGAGCTTTTTCCCTGAGATCAGGAACACGACAGGGATGCCCACTCTCACCGCTGTTGTTTAACATAGAGCTGGAAGTTCTAGCATCAGCAATCAGACAACAAAAAGAAATCAAAGGCATCAAAATTGGCAAAGATGAAGTCAAGCTTTCGCTTTTTGCAGATGACATGATATTATACATGGAAAATCCGACAGACTCCACCAAAAGTCTGCTAGAACTGATACATGAATTCAGCAGAGTTGCAGGATACAAAATCAATGTACAGAAATCAGTTGCATTCTTATACACTAACAATGAAGTAACAGAAAGACAAATAAGGAAACTGATCCCATTCACAATTGCACCAAGAAGCATAAAATACCTAGGAATAAATCTAACCAAAGATGTAAAGGATCTGTATGCTGAAAACTATAGAAAGCTTATGAAGGTAATTGAAGAAGATTTAAAGAAATGGAAAGACATTCCCTGCTCATGGATTGGAAGAATAAATATTGTCAAAATGTCAATACTACCCAAAGCTATCTACACATTCAATGCAATCCCAATCAAAATTGCACCAGCATTCTTCTCGAAACTAGAACAAGCAATCCTAAAATTCATATGGAACCACAAAAGGCCCCGAATAGTCAAAGTAATTTTGAAGAAGAAGACCAAAGCAGGAGGCATCACAATCCCAGACTTTAGCCTCTACTACAAAGCTGTCATCATCAAGACAGCATGGTATTGGCACAAAAACAGACACATAGACCAATGGAATAGAATAGAAACCCCAGAACTAGACCCACAAACGTATGGCCAACTCATCTTTGACAAAGCAGGAAAGAACATCCAATGGAAAAAAGACAGTCTCTTTAACAAATGGTGCTGGGAGAACTGGACAGCAACATGCAGAAGGTTGAAACTAGACCACTTTCTCACACCATTCACAAAAATAAACTCAAAATGGATAAAGGACCTGAATGTGAGACAGGAAACCATCAAAACCCTAGAGGAGAAAGCAGGAAAAGACCTCTCTGACCTCAGCCGTAGCAATCTCTTACT